TTCTATGCCATTAATTTCCGAACAACTGGAATTACTTTCAACTCTGATCCCTGGTTTTTTCAGCATGTTCCCAAAATCAATGGAGATATACCCTCAGTAGATGAAGCCACGTCAGATCATCAAAGGCTGATGGACAGGTAACTTTAACTTCTTTCCACTAATAGTTTTTTGCTAGCAAAAGAAGTTGTGGACTTGTCAGACAAGTTATGTGACTTTTCCAGTCAGGTACTCTCTATCTTTGTCTTCTCCAAGCTAGCTAGCGAGTGCCAATGAATACTCTATGAGATGAAGTTTCTGAGAGTTTCAAATGCATTTAACCTCTCCTTGAGACAGTGTTTTGTATGTCAATTGTGCATGCATATGCCACTTATATGTAAAAAAGAATATCTTGCATACATATGCCACTTATATGCAAAAACAAATTTATTTCCCCCTTCATTTTCCTTGCTTAGCATTTCCTCCCAAACTTCATTTCAAAGTATTTCCACAGACGATCTCTTTTTCCCAATTTAGCACATTTGCTTGTTAAAATCCCATATAATAGAATCAGGTACCATACTTTAGGGAACTTATTCATAGTCGTTAGGTGTTTTTTCTTATCATGGTGCATTAATTCAGATATTGCTAATACTATTTCTATTCCACATTCTTTGTTTCTGGTAATAAAACAGTATATTAATCCCTATACAAGTTATGTAATACTTATTTTATATATATTTTTTTTAAAATTGATACTTTAAATAGAGAAAAGCTTTCTTCTAATTGCTTTGTGTAATGATAGATGGATTTTTTATAAGAACATTTTTTCTATAGGTTGGAAGTATATGATCTATTTGAGTTAAAAGTATCTGGAGATGGCAACTGTCAGGTTCGTTTATTTTCATCTTTTCTAATACCTCCTTCCTGATCACTAGAATATTACAATATATTAATTCCTTTTTTTTGGGACTAAAATCACTTGCAATAGGTTAATTCTATAGAGAATAAGATATTTTTTTATTTCAAATCTCTGTAAAATGCATTTTTTCGCTTTCTTTCTATTTTTCCCCTAGTTCCTAGAATTTTTACATTTATCATGTCAGTAGATTTTATCCATGTTTATCGCACCATACTTCATATGGGTGATATCCCCACTGCTCTATGTTGCCTTCTGAAAATATTAACGTCCATTCTGTATTATCCTGCTGGGTTGCACATCCAATTTAATCCGGGGAAACTTGAAAAAGTGACCTTTGCTTTGATGCATGATACTTCTGGAGTTGCCTTTTTGCTCTTGATCTATCCCCTTCTTTTCTTTCTCTGTCCCTCTTCCCATCTCTTTTGGTGCTGTGAGTGACACATTCCGATCTATGTTAGCGTTTGGTTATACAAAGAAGGAGAATCAATCCCCTCACTTAATTCAACATAACTTTTACATCGTTAGTTGCTTGAATAAGGAGAATTAACCTCCTCAGTAATTTTGTCTTTCTTATGAATAATACCCGCATATGTCATGCGGGAATCTATAGGTCACGGGTTCGAGCCGTGGAAGCAGCCATTAATGCTTGCATTAGGGTAGGCTGTCTACATCACACCCCTTGGAGTGCGGGATGCCTTATGCACCGGCTGACCTAAAAAATAAGCCATACGGGAATCTATGTATTATTTTATGCATGGTAGAATGTGGAATAAGCATACGGGAATTGGCAATACATGAATTAAAACTACGGATACCTCAAAGATGCCCTCATCTATTCAGACATATATTGTTTTTTAATACAATAAACCAAACATCCAACAAGAATTAATCCCTGCATTGTAATCCCTACAATACTATCCTTGCATTATTAATTCCTGCATTACTTATCTCTGCTTTACTGATCCTTGTATTACTAATCTTTGCATTAGTAATCTCTGTATAACTAGTCTTTTAACCAAGCGACTCTTTAGTGAATTACTAGCTGGATTGTGTTTTTTTTTTTTTTTTTTTTTTTTTTTNGGGTTGGGGGTTAAGGATTGTTTCACCTTTGGTTTGGAAGTAAACTTGAGAGATCTACTTTTTAGATCCCCACCGCTGAGAGGATATTGTAGGGGATTGAAGAGGTAAAGCTTTTCTCGCTCTATTTCAGTTGTATCAGAGACGGGTCTTTCACAACTGTGTTTTTTGAAATCCTATCTTGTGCTCTATTACGCATGATATGATATATGAGGTAACACTTGTTAACTTCTTAATGCTTTATGACATTTTTGCAGTTCCGCTCATTGTCAGACCAAATATATCGCAGTATCGAGCATCACAAATTTGTGAGGGAACAAGTTGTTAAACAGGTTCTTCTCAAATTTTTTTGTTAGTTTCAACCTCGTTTAAATACTATGGTTGCATGTAAACCATAAACATAAATAAAAAAGAAAAAAGTTGCCTGTCAGCAAAAGGACTGCTCCCTGCATAAAAAAAAAAAAAAAAAAAAAAAAAAAACTAGGAAAGTATAGGCACAAAGAGGCGGCCAGGCAACCCAAAATTTACATATGCATACCTTTTCTAAGACAAAGTTACATTAAATCATGACTATGCATTGTGATCATGTCCTTCTATTTACTTCTTCATACTATTGATTACTTCTAATTGTTGTTATTATTAGCTCAAGTTCCGTAGGGAGTTGTATGAGGGTTATGTTCCGATGGTCTATGATGAATACTTGAAGAAAATGAGCAAGTAATTACTGAAGCTCCTTACACTTTTTTTCTCTCTCTTTTTAATGATTACGCTCTTATTTAAGTGCTCCTTCTAACAGGGCTGGCGAATGGGGTGATCATATAACTTTGCAGGCTGCTGCTGATTCAGTATTGTCCTCTTTCCCTCTCCCTGTGTTCTGGTGTTTTGAGTTTCCCATAGTGATTTGTTGAATGGATTTGCTTAGAAATTATCCTAGCATATATTGACAAAACTGATAGTTACTTGCAAGTTGATTGATTGGAGCACCAGAATTTGGCTATTATGGTAGTTTTGAGGTCTGTTGAACTTAATTGGTAATTTGGCGGGGCATTAAGTGAATTATTTACCAGCTAGCCTTCAGCGCCATTTTAGATGTTTCAACAGGGGTCTGGTTCTTGCTTAGTCACCCGTGTTTGGATTAAACCGGCTTCAGTTCTTTCTTAACGGATGGATCTTTTAAGTGGAGAAAACTCTTTTGGACGTGAAGAAGGACAAAGCTCTTGAATCAAATAGTTGTATAGACCTCATTCTTAGTGTGTTCCTCAATGCTATTGTTATGTTGAGTCCTATTAAGACAATTGAACAGGAGTAGTATGGCAGTAAAAGTTTATATCTTTTTAGAAATTTATTTAGGCAGCCTATATATTTTAGACAGCCTATATGTTAGATCAAATGTAGTGACTTTGTATTCAATGAGTCTACTCCACCAGTCTTCGTTCTTGATGCCAGTTGCTTTGATGGCTTAGATGCGTCTGAATGAGACATTATGGAATTCCGATATAAATCCTCTTTTGAAATATTATAATATGAAGAGCTTACGTGCTGACATAAATATGCTCTTAGGCTCTTGGGATTTCTAAAGTAAAACCCTTGGATTTTACACAAAATTGCTAGTGGCTTCTAGATTTTTTTCTGACACATACAGAGAGAGAGAGAGAGAGAGAGAGAGAGAGAGAGAGAGAGAGAGAATTGCCAGTGACTTGAGTTACTTTGGGCTCCTAGTCATTGACCAAAACCTTGTTGATGGATTTAGGTCTTCTTGATGTGAATGTTAGCTCTGACCTCTTATGTTTTATGAAGTAGTCTCTTGACTAAGAATTTGTGAATTCTGTTTTTATGACCTTATTATTCGAGCCAAGTAAACAAATAGTTTGATGATTTGAATTCGACAAATCATAGGTTTTCACAGAAGTTTATCTATAAATTCATAAGAAACGAGAAATGTATCCTGATAAGATCTGTTATTAGGAATTTCTTGGTGCTTGTTGAGGAATTTGAAAATGTATTTGCTTATCATCCCTTTTGCTATGTGGCTTTATTTTTATCCGCCTGTCCGGAGCATAGAACCTACTACTATTTACAGAAAACAAACATAAGCTTGTTTTATGTATTGTGAGAGTTTACTTTTTGACTTTTATCAACCAGAAGAAATGGGGTTGATTTGGTAATTCACTGGTATTTTCTGTATTTCACAAACAAGTGCAAAGAGGATGAAATTAAGGCTCTTGATGATTGCTGGATGAGATTAAGTTATTCACACTATGGCCCATGCATCAGATGTCAAAACTGATAAGAGCACATATAGTGGCAAGATGAACAAACCCTCTAAAGCATGGGGACTCTTGTTATCTATGGATTTTGATGACAGGGTAACCTCTCAAAAAGATTAAAGACTAGTTACTTTAGAATCAAGATGATGTTCCTTAATGATTCTAAAATGTAATACATCTTATTCCTTATTACCAAATTTTGGTGTTTCTTACCTGTTTTTGTGAAAGATATAGTAACCGTTATTCCAGAATTTTAAATTCAGAAGAAATTCCGTTAAATTCTCCGTTAAATTCATTTGCATCTTGAAAGCAGCTGTTATCCTTGCTATTATAATAAATACTGTATGGAAAATAAGCAGTATACCTCTAAGAGCACCATACAGAAGTTAAGAATAAAAATGTTGCTATTATAGGGTCTCATTATTCACTTTATTCTGGATAACAATGCATGTCATGGCTATGTTCTTTTATGCTCTCCCAAACCCCAATTTTTGCTAGAAGTAGCTGATTAGGCAGGGTCGTCGCCGCTCTTCCATTTGATTCATTTAGATTGATTATGAATTTTCTTTCAAGGAATCTTAGTGCTCAGACAATGGTTAGGAGTTCCTGAGTTGGCTTCCCTAAAGAAAGAGACCTTTGATTGGTTCCTGCCAGCCATTTTCCATTCTTTTCCTAACACAGAAAATCCTAATTTTTCCCTCTTTTGTTGTTTATTGTCATATGATTGTGATCTACTATTCTCTCAATTCAAGTGTGTATTTTAAATTTTCAATTGGTGACTGACGTTTGTTCCAATGTTATTACAGTATGGTGTTAAGATATTTGTCATTACTTCATTTAAGGATACCTGCTACATTGAGATTCTTCCACAAATTCAAAAGTCAAAGAGAAGTAAGTTTTTTTTATCAATGAGTGTTTTTTCCTGTTGTACATTTCAGATTTGAATCCGAGTAAGCTTGCTTTATTTATTTTTCCTTCTTTTTCTTTGGGTGAGAGGGATCAAAGTTAGCTTTCTTCTTTCCTTTTCTTTTGTGCGCTTGTGTGTAATCTTGTTGTATGAGAGATAGCAAACGGTGCGGTGCGGGTGCGGGGCGGGTTCTACCTTAACCCGCAAAATTTCAACCCGCCCCGTCCCGCATTGCATTTTCACCCGCATCCACCCACGCGTTACCCGCCCCGCAAAATTTTCCTCTTCTTTTTTTTTTTCTTCCAATTTGTCTTATTTTTATTTTTGTCTTTTCAATTATGTTTATATATGTCATTGCTAATGTAAAAGTTTCTATCAGAATCCAGTGGCAAACCAAGGAAGTCATATTTTGAATACGCATAACTAGGGAATAACTATAAATCCTACCGAATGCTATTAGTATGTCATTCTAATATACAATTCAGATTGTACAATGTAATGAGATCATATACCTAAACTTAGCTTAAAATAAATTAACTATATAGTTAAAAGTGAGACTTTGGAGCAGTAAATAAAATATAAAACAAGCAGCTCTTCTTCCCAGTGATGCAATTAGCAGAAGCATTCATATTTACAATAAACTGAATAGACGTATACTATGAATCAATTTAAAAAACTAAATCAATTTGAGACTACAATGATCCAATTCGTNCAATATGAGACTATAATGATCCAATTCGTAGGAGAACGAAATTACAAGTCCAAAACTGGAAAACAAATATTTCTTGGTTGAATATTAGTGATCAATAGCTGAAAAGTTGTACTTATTCAAAAAATTTAAATCTTAACATGCACCCGCAAAAAACTGAATTTGTTTTTATGTTGACCCACCCCGCACCGCCCCGCATATGTATAAACTCGTACCGCCCCGCACCCGCACCGTCCCATTGCCATCCCTATATATGTTGATTCTTCATTAATACGAGGGCATTTATAAAATCTACGTCCAGCATTCATATGAGTCTTAGCCATAAAATGATTGACAATCAACCAGTAACCACATGGTGGGCTTTTGTTTTCCCCTAAAAGGAACAACTTTTACAAACCAAAGCAAGTTTGGAAGAAAAGGGAACAAAAAATTAAGAACTGAAAGGAGGAAGAAATTTTGAAGAGAAAAAAATTGAACTGCCCGAGTTTGCTGAAGAAGGGGATTGAAATCTGGGGCTACGACAATATACGAGATTATATGGTAAAAATTGTACGGGGCGCCCTATTTGGTCGCCCCCATTTAACCTATATCTACTTTTTTAAAAAGTTTTAACTTGTACTCACTTTTTAAACAACTTCAGGCTTCTTTCTCCTCCTCCTTCGTTTTCTGAATGCTGAAATTTGAGATATTGTTATGCGTTCTAGCCTGATGATTCATATATATCTGCTTGTCCCATTATGTTC